GAAAAGGAGTTGCTTTTTTGGAGTTGTTGTTTGTTTCAGGAAATACTACAGCATCTTTCTGGTTTCATGAAAGCAAACGAAAGATGCTGGGACTTCAACCTTGGCTTTGGCCACCTGGTTTTCCCTGTTACCACCCTGACGAATACCACATCTGTCTTGACAAATTAGTTCACAGATAATCACTCATTCCTGACTTTAGGCTATTCTAGCCATCTTTGTTACCTCATCTTGTGAACAAGAATGCAGAGTTTGGTTGTGAGAAGGACACTGAAATGACCACAGGGTCCACTGACCTTTGCAAAAATTTATCTGAAAAAAAAAAAGATCATTGTAATTTTGTAGTGTATTTTATGAGTACTGAAATATTTCCTGTTGCCAGAATATAAATGGGAATATTCTGGAAAGTATAATTTAATTTTTAAATTTCGGATTCGTTTCAGTATTGGTTATTTCARTCCTTCTTAGAACAAGTGTATCAGAGATGATTCTGTCTACACCATTGTAGCTGTAACTTGGCATTCCTTCCATTGGGGGGATTCTTTCTCATACGGTCATTAGTTTCTTTCTGTTGACTTAGTCACATTTTCACTTCTGCTTTGACATCTTCATGGCAATCTCACTGGAGTCATTTTTATTTGTTTTATAATGAACTCTTATAATTAAGCTGCTGGCTCATACAGCCCATAAGAAAGAAAGGTCAATGACTTATTCTGATTTTATATTATTATTATTATTATTATTATTATTATTATTATTCCAGAGGCATTTCACCACTGAGCCACATCCCAGCCCTTTCTTTTATTTTTTATTTTGAGACTTGGTCTTGCTAAGTTGCTTAGGACCTAGCTAAGTTGCTAAGGCTGGCATTAAACTTGTGATCCTCCTGCCGCAGCCTCCTGAGCCACTGGGATTACAGGCATGCCCACTGCATCCAGCTTGATTCTGCTTTAGGAGGAGGAAAAAACAATCATAGACAGAGGACATTTCATTTCTTTGCAGAGGATGGATGATTTAGTGAAGGAACTGTCTCCTTGGATGTCTCTCTTTCAGGACTTTTTGGGCAAATCTTTCCACATCCAGGTGAATCATCCCTTGGTACTTTTGGCTCTGAAATTTGGGAAGGATGAAGAAAGGAGTGCTTCTGAGCTCCCAACTTCTACCTGCAAGTGGCAAGGCAGAACCAGAGCTGAATTATAGCCATCCTTTTAGGCTGCCTGTCCATCAAACTCCATCACCATAGGTTGCTGGCACTGTCTACACCCTGTTTTATATCTGAGACACCTTGAGGCATTTTTTTAAAAAAAAACTTACCTATTTGAAAAGTAATTTTGTCACTCATTTGGTCCTCTGTAGTATTAAACCTTCAGTTGTTAAATGTGTGGGCCATAGCCATGAACTAAGGCTGTTTTACCAACTAGACTTGAGTTTCTTTCTCCATGGAATGAGGTGACTGGTGCTCATTTGTCTTGGAGAGAGGTACGTTTCAGAATTCCACTGTCAGAAAATATCACCACCAATAATGAAACTATGCATGTAGAGTCATGTCAAATGTCATTAATTCTTATTCTAAAATAGGGTCTCAAACCAAGTTGACCCCAAATCATTGTATATTTGGAACAGTTTTCCCTTTCTCAGTAATACTTGCTGGAAATTCTCTAAAAAAAGAGTTTAGTGGCAGGAGGAAAGATAGCATCTATGTTTAGAATTGTTAAAATTACAAGAGATGCATTGTGTTGTTGGAGGGGTTGGGAGGACTAGAGCAGGAGCTAATTTGACATAAAATTTATTGAAGCAATTTTAATGGGATTGAAGCATTTTAAGGAAGTTTTTAATTCTGAGACAGGATCTCACTAAATTGCTGAGGCTGGCCTTGAACTTGTGATACTCCTGCCTCAGCCTCTTGAGTAGCTGGGATTACAGGATTGCACCACCACCACTGACTGCATTGAAGCATTTTTAATTCTGCTTAAGATATTATAGCAAGAATGGCTTTATTTCTAGCTAATAGACATTTTCACATTATATAAAACTGTTGCTTACTCAGAACATATATAAACCTTATGAGGAGATACTTTTTCCTTGACCCACCTAGATGGATTGCTTTGAGGTCAAATGATGTTTTATAAATGGCCTTTCTAACCTATAAGTCACAAAGACCTGGACGAATGGTTCTCAAATTTACCATGCGAAAAATCAAGCATGGTGCTTATTAGTAAATGTAAACTCCTAAGCCCTTGTCTCCCACCCCATCTCCAAATTATTATTCAGWGGTTTGAAGTTAAACTTCAGCAACCTGCATCTTGACAAGCAGGCCAGGTGATTCTCAAATGATTCAGAAACACACTCTGGAAACATTGTTGCTTTGTTGTTTTATTTCTGAGCTGTGTTGTCACAGGCAAAACTGAACCCCAACACTTACAATTCATATCAGAATCATTTAGTTATTTTGTAAATCACCTATACCAAATTTTAATTCTGGGACTCCTATTTTATAACTTGTATAACCCATAGTTGCCCATTTATTAATTATGAGTGCCCAGAGTCTTCTGAAAAGCACTGTCTCTAAGACTATAAATGTCTCAGATGYTTATAGTGTTTCACGTTTTACAAACCATTTCGCATATATCTAGAGCTTCACTGATCTTAAAAAATATATATCCATACCCCAATACTGCTTCAGTCATGTAGATGACTGAAAATTGATAGCTTAAAAACTAAGGACTGCTTTCTGAGGCCTGAGTAGTCACTATTCGCATCTTTATGTCTTCATCCARTTCATGACCTTTTTTTAAAATATTTTTTTTTAGTTGTGGATGGACATTGTATCTTTATTTTATTTATTTTTATGCAGTGCTGAGGCTTGAACCCAGTGCCTCACATGCAAGGCAAGCACTCTACCACTGAGCACAACCCAGCCCCAATTCATGATCTTAATTGCTAAGGCTCTGCTTGAAAATAAAACAGAAAAAAAGTAAGGAAAGAAATAATTTTAAGACTGCAACTTCATAACAGAATGAAAGTAAACCAAAGGGGCATGTTTAAGTCGGGCATGCTGGAAATTGTAAATGACAATAGTCACGTCACCTTGTTCCTACCTGTGACCTGGGTGACCTAGGGCAGTGTCAGGGATCTGAATCCCATGGATAGAACTGTCCCTCTTCTGTACCACGACATCCAGTGGCCTGAAGAAGGTGCTGTTTCCCAGGAAAAGGATTGAAATCCCCCCAAGAAATGCATAGGGCCATAGTTTGGAGAAAAAGTATTACTAACCAAGCGACTCACTTTGCATCTTCTACCTTCCTTTGGTTATTTTCTTGTGGATTTTTATTTAGGATAACTTTCAGCATCTCTTTTTAAAGACCAACTTAGAATGAGAAATCTTTGATTGCTAATCTTGTGACAAACAGTTTAYACCCAGTGTAGCTTCCTGTCTTTGCTGACTGGTTATTTGAGGGAATATTCTCCCTATCAGGCTGTGCAGAAAGCTCTTAAAATAAACAGCATGGTTGCTTCTTGGTAGGAACATATGGGAACAGATGTCAGCTGGAAGCAGCATATGGTGGCATCAGGGTAGCAGAATGTGTTTCTAACAGCCCAGATGCTAGGCCTTCATTTCCATGCCACACTGGCCACAGAGAACTCCCATCTCAATGAAAGAGTGTGTTGGCTAGACCGCATAATCCATGTATGTGTGAAAAAGTGTCACTGGGGTCTTTGTAGGAGGCTGAATGTTGGAGATGGTAAGTTGCAGACTATGGGAAAGGCTGACACTATCCATGTTAAAATTGAGTGATAAAAGGCACAGATCTGGCAAAAAAAAAAAAAAAGAGAGGATTCCATGAAGCCTTTGTTTTTTTATCCAAAGAAGGGTTCAATTCAGGGAAGGATTCAATTCAGGTCTGAATAGTGACAGTGTTACTTGCAGAAGATATGCCCTGCATATATAAAAGATGAATAGTTTCTATCTATGCAAGGAGCCAGGACMGAATTATATCATGCCAGGCCTAGGAGGGCTCAGTTACATAGCTAATATGATTGCATTCCTTAATCACTTTTATTTGCCAGTCTTTTTTAAAATATAACATCTCATTCCCATCTTATAAAAACTCTCGGAGATAGCAGTATGTCTGCCTCAACTTGTAGGCACTGAAGTTCAGGTAAACTCCAGGGCTTGTCCAAAGATTCATGGGAAATCAATGATAGAATGGGGAGTTTTAGCCCATATCTTCTCATCCAAAGCTCCTACTATAGGCAGGAAAGCCTTTGAACACTCAAGAATGTTTTTTTTTTTTTTCTTCAATTTGAGACATTTTTTTTTGTGTGTGTGTGTGTAGTTTTGTCTCTAAGAATCAGGTGCGAAATATCCAAATTGCTTTTATTTTAAGGAAAGTGAAGCTCAAAATTTCTGGATGTCATACTCTGAGGGGAGAAATGTTTAATCCATTTCAAAGAGCTCCAGTTTTCGAAACTGTAGCTAAGCAGCTACAACCAATATGCCCTTATACTTTTGACTCATTTCAAGTCAGAGTTTTCATATGCCAGTTAAAAATAATGACAGGTGGTTTTAAGAACTCTAAAAATCTAGGCCAGCCAAAGAAACACCAGGTATTATTCTTAATGAGTAGGCTGTTTTTTTTGTCAAAGAGGGTCAAGACCCTTCTTATTCATCTTTAGTATAACTCAAGGTATTTATTTTACTATTTTAGTTTATAAATTGTACATTGTCATTTCAATGTTAGAGTGTGTTAAAGGGAAAACAGAATCCAGGAGTCTGATAGCTGGTTAAGGGAGTCCAGGAGATCTGCGACACCAGAATCCAGAATCCTCTATAGATCTTTGTGTGTGATCTCCTGACCCTGGGTTGCAGGGACCTTGTATATCTGGGTGGGGGCAATAAGAACATTCAGTGAGTCCCTCTTCTACTTTGAGTCTTTGTATAGTTCTGTGTCGGGCCTCTCTTCAGTAAAATAGCTAATGACTGTGCTTTTTAAAACTCCTAGCTGTCTGCCCAGTTGTTACAACACCCTCTGGCTCAGTGGGCAGCTTGTGCGCCAGACAGTCCCAGGTGCTCTGTGGGTACCTTGGTGAGTACACTTGTCTGCTTTATTCCTCGTTTGACGTGGTGATATCAAGTCCGTCTTTGGTTTCTGTCTCCTGTGGGGTGTACATTAGAGGCTAAATAGGATTCTGAAATGCAGCCTTGTAGCTGAGTTTATCACAAAGTGCCTGACATTTTCTAGTCAGAGTTTACATGAGAAGAGCTGATGAACAGCTTGGTAGATGTGCCATGACTTGACTGTAGCTTGTGAAAGTATTACTTGGGGGTAATGAAATATGTGTTCCAAGGGACACAGAGGGATTGGAAATATTGATCTCCTGATCCCCAGGGAGGCTTCTCTGGAGAGTTGAACAGTATAGCCTGAATGTCAAAGGAAGGTTGTTTTTTCATATCTTGTTTATGTGTGYGTTGCTATTCCCGACACATAGTAGTTGCTTAATTACTGTTTTTGTTCTGAACTAAAGGGGGAAAAGGAGATTTTTCTCTCCTTTGAGGTTTTTGCAGGAGGCCTAAGGGAGAGTTATGCTGATGCCATTATTTGTGACTTTCATATTGACATGTCTGAGTTGCATGAGAAAATGGACTGACAGGGGTCCATCCTCAGCTAATTGGACTTGAGCTTGCTGCTTGCTTGAACTATTTATCCCTGACCCTCACACAAAGTGCAGGCTTCTCAGAGCCAGTGCAATGGGTTAGGAAAAGGAGCACCAAAGCCAGAGGTCTCTACCTCTTTCTGATTTGGGACATTATTGTATTGCCACCAGCATTTATTGAATGCCTTCTGTATGCTGGGCAATGAGTCTGGACCTAAGAATAGAGCTTGAGTGATCCTAGCATTCAATAAATTCAGTGGCTGAGTTGTCCCCAAATCCTGCTTAGGAAAACAAGAAATAGACTCACAATCCTGGCATTAGTTAACCACCTGTATTTGAGGCCCTGAGAAGGTTTTGATTATGTTGATTGTAAATGTGGGAGGGCGGTGACCTGGATAGAGACAAAGGAAATGTTTTTATTTTTCTGATAGAAGCCTGGTTCCCTGGATATCCTATTCTGTAACTTACCGTGCTTTATCTTTCTTCTTAGGAATCAATATAGTTTATTCACAGTGGCCTATGCTGGGATTTCCTCAAAGGGGGAAAAATGAAAGAAAAAAMAACAACAAAACCCTGATTCTGTTGAGAGTACATGTTTATTTTACTACAGAAAGCCTAAGAGTGGCTAGAAGCTGCTATATGAATGAAGAGTGAAAGATTTAATGCATGCTTTTAAAGCCCCCTTTTACCAGTTTGGTGGTTCATGTCTATAGTCCCTGCAATGGGTTGGAAAGAGGTAGGGAGGCTGAGGCAGGAGGTTTGCAAGTCAGAAGCCCCAGTAATTTAAAGAGGCCCTAAGCAACCTATTGAGAACTTGCTTCAAATTAAAAAAATAAAAATAAAAAGTTTTAAAAGGCTGGGAATATAAAAGGAAGGAGGGAGGGAGAGAGAAAATTTGAAAGAAAGAAAATTCAAACTCAATAAAGAAAGATAATTAAAAATCCCTTTTGTGAGAAAAACTATATTTGAATTTGAATTTTATTTCACTCCTTAAACCCAAAAGTGGAATGTCCAGTTTTTTCCCTACCCACTGACTGGCTTGTTGGAAGGAAGAGAAGGGGAAAGAAGGAAGGAAAAATTTGTTGGAGAACCCCATGTTGCTAGTCCTCATCCTGATTCTTCTCATGTTGGTTGGGCAGGGAAGGCCAGGAGGGCAATCCCCAATCTTCAGGAAGTTGGGGTTTGGAGAGCTAAATGCCTCGTCCTTGGTCACAGATCTAGATGCTGTCACCCATTCATTAGGTCCCTTTCTTCCCTCCTGCTTTGGACTGATTTCCTTTTCATCCCTCCCTCTGGTAGTAAAGAGGTCTTCCTTGGTTCTTCCGTTGGTTTTTCTTCTTAGAGTCTCCTTCTTATTTGGGGTGATTTTTTTTAACACCTTTATTTACTTGTTTATTTTTATGTGGTGCTGAGGATCGAACCCAGGGTCTCGCACTTGCGAGGGGAGCGCTCTACCGCTGAGCCACAACCCCAGTCCTTGGTGTTATTTTTTTTATCACTTGTTTGTTTCAAACTTCCCTTTTCCTTTGGGGAAAAACACGGGAAGCCCACCTGCCCTGAAAAGACCCATCGTTTCTCCAAGGGTGTGGCCAGGTAGATGGGGCATGGCTCCACGTGGATTCCCATGAGTGGGAGGCTCTTCTACTTTCCCAGCCCCCAGCTGACCCTTCTCAGACCTTCCATGCAAGACAGTGGGGCTCTGCATGTCTTGTCTTTCTTTCTTCCTTTCTTTCTTTTTCTTTTTTTTTTTTGGTCTCTGTTCTTAGAAATAGTAATTGAGTAAAAATGTAAGTGAGCGTATGCCAGGGGGCAAGCATCCAGGGTCAGGGTGAATTTCTCCATGCTGAGTGTGATTCTGAACACTCGTTAAGTGGAGTGGGCCCATGCCAAGCAGCTCGAGGGCCATCCCTGTCACCTTGTGTGACCGCCTCTGGGTTCCAAAGAGATGCTGGGCGTGGCTGGAGGCATTGTGGAGCCTGTGGCGCCTCTTTCTTTCCTCCCTCTGTAACCTAAGTGTGGTTGATCACTGCATGTCAGACACTGATGCTGATGGTGGTGGCTCTGGGGCTCCATTGCCTTGAAATAAGAACAACAGGGAAGATGAAATGGTCCACATCCTCACAGACCATGTGGTTGCACAATCACTTTTCTCTTTCTAAATTCATTACCCCCAATAATATTGGTGGAGGTTAGGATGACCTGCCTAAAGTTTCCTAATAAGATAGAGGAATCCAGGGCTGGGGTTGTGGCTCAGCCATAGAGTGCTTGCCTCACATGTGCAATGCCCTGGGTTCGATCCTCAGCACCACCTAAACATAAAAAGCAAATAAAATAAAAAAGATATTGTGCTCAACTGCAACTAATAAATAAATAAATAAATGTTTTTTTAAAAAAAGATAGAAGAATCCAGAGGACAAGCAATAGAGACAGTGTCTCTACATGAGAAGAATCCAGAGGACAAGCAATAGAGACAGTGTCTCTACATGAATGAATGGATGTACAATCATGAAGGTGCATTCCACTTTTTAAGTACTTACTGAGTAAGAGGCTTTTAAGTAACTCAGTTAAGATGTAAAGATGTTGTTGTTCAAAGCGTGGCTTGTATTTGTATCTCCTGAGGCATCTTAAAAGCAGATTCCCTGGCCCTGTCTCAGAGTCAGAACGGCTGGCTGGGTGGGCGGAGCTGGGGACTTTGCATAGTCCAAACAGGCAGTGCAGGTGCTTCTGGCCTTGAGGACATTTGCAGCTGTGTGAGGCAGCAGATGCAGGCCTGTTTACTTGTAGACATCCTGCTGGGAGGATGCAGATCAGTGAGGCCTCTGTTTGATCAGCTGGCCCAGCAAGCATGGGACCCTGAATCTACAGCCCTAGTGGAGTTTTTGCTAGGTGCTTTTCCTTTTCCTAAGTTCATCCAAGAACTGAGGTAGTCCTGTTGCTAATAGTATCACATAAATCCCTGGCTCACTGTTCATCACAGAGGGGGGACACTGACTGTGCAAGGAAGTAAAAAGGGTCGTGTAGAGAGGGTGGCAGATGCCCAGTTTGGAGATTATGCAGGGGAGTGAATTCTTTCACCCAAGAGCCTTTCACTCCAGGCAATCATGGAGTGGGAAGGGGATTTTTGAAGTGAATATTTAATGCATATGTGACACATACTCTATAATGTATAAGTTAATGTATAATTCCCTGGGGTAGTGTTTGGTCAAAGCACTGCCATCCTCTTTACRGCCAGAATCCGTTCTGACACATTCCATGGGGTTAGGATCTAGCCAACAATGGAATGTAAACTCTATTATCTCAGCCAAACTCAGTTTCAGTGAACTACAGTTTTCTCAATCCAAATGGTGTTTTCTTCAAGCAGAAGTATTAGAGCAGGTGGGAATCTGACCAAGCTATTAATAAGTAAAGTTAATGATAAATGACTTGGTATTTGATTTGTGCAACCCTGGGCCTCCTGGTATTCTGCTGTGATTTTTGAACCACCCAGTATTTTGAATCCAACCATGCAGTATGAATATTTTATGATTTTGGTAGTGTGTGTGTGTGTGTGTGTGTGTGTGTGTGTTTTGTCATCCTACCATTTAATGAAATATCTAGTTCTCCTAGGTGGTCTGCATCATTTAAAGCCTATGTGGCTTTTAAAATATGAGAAAAAATAACTTTCCAACACGTCTTCAACCAAAAGATCTCTCTGTATTATTTAAAAATATAGATAGGGTTCTAAAATAAATGTCCAGTGCATGCAGAGATCTTTGGCAGGTAAAAGAGGACATCCTTTTGATATACTGATTTATTCAGTGGTATTTATTGTGTGTCTACTTGTATCAGGCACTCATGGATGATAGGCATGGATGATACCACCAGTGAGTAAAACAATAAAAATCCTTGCCTCTGTTGAGCTTATGTTCTGTAGAAGAGGGAAGAAAATTAATAATAGAGGTTAAATAAGAGTGATAGCATTTGATGAATGTTATGGGGGAACGAGTAGAACAAGTTTAGGATAGAGAAGTGAATTACGATTTTAAATAAGCAGGCCGTAGAAGAGTTAAGGCAGCATTTAAACAGACTTGAAGGAGATCAGAAAGTTATGTGGGGAAGAGCGTTTTTGGCAGAGGGAACTGCTAGGCTATTTCTGGCCTGTTCTAGGATTATCAGAAGTGTCCTCAAAGATGAGATTAGAAAGATCATGAGTGACAATTCATGTGGGACCTCGTAGGCCATTCTAAGGTCTGTGACTTTTTTTTTCTCTGAATAAGATGGGGAGAACGGTGGTTTTCGCCAAGGGCCCACTATGGCTACTAGATTGGGAGTGGAACTTAGGGTGGCCAGGGTAGAAGTGGTAAGTACATGAGCGGCCTTGGTAATGCACTGGCTGGAACTTGGTGACTGCAATTCTAGGTAAAACCACACAGGAATCTCAGACATTCCTTGT